ATTATATTTTTCTTTTTTATCCCCCCCCCCCCCCCCCTATATTATTTCTAGACCTGGAAAATTTACCTAAATTAACAAAATCTTATATAACTACTTGGGTGAATTATAAATTTCACTAATACTTTTTATAGTTATGCTAAACATTTTTCAGGTAGAAATTGTGACTTTTAAACAAACATTTAATTAATTGCTAATATAAAGACTTTGCCATCATTTACTCCTGTTGCATCAAAGAAGTCAATGACTGGAGCTTAACATAGTTTTCTAATAAAGCATGTCATACTGTATTTACTTAAAAATAACCTGCAGGTAGTGTTATACCGTGTTAATTTGAGCTAAACACCAATTTATCAGTGAATCAACACAGCGTAGCTGAAAGTGCACGACATGTATAATATACAGCATAATGTTCCGCTGTTAGGCCAATCATCCTCCCTCAAGGTGAACTACTCATCAAGAAAAAAGTCTAATAAAAACAAAATAGAAAAATCGGTGTAGAAAATAAGGGGCTGTTGAGTACATCATTACGTACATTATTTAAACAACATTTTAAAATGGAAAAAGAGAGTTTATAGCTTATAGCAAAGCTTAGATTGTCTATACTAATTGAATTATTTAAAAATGTAATACAATATTATATATATATATATATATATATATATATATTATATTTACGAAATATTTAAAAATTTAATAAAATATTTGTTATATATATATATATATATATATATATACATTTTCCCTCAAAAGTCAAAAGGCTTTTAATTTGAAATGCTAGACCAGGTTTGAGAGGAAGTAAATAGCTGATTTTGATTTCCGGCTTCACGCTTCCTGCTTGACATAAATACGCTCCGGTGGATTCTAATATTCAGTTCTCACTGTTATTTTTAGATGAGTTTATGTTGATTTACTGTTTTTAAAGTGATACAGGAGGTATGTTACATACGTATGTCTTACTCGCCCTTTGTGTTTGCCAAAAGCGTATTTGTACTTTTAGAAATGGAGATGATAAATATATTGCTTAATAGATGCGCGCTCCATAAAGAGCTAAACAACAAGTGCAATGGCAGTGTATACAATCATATTCCGGTCTTTATATATATATATATATGTATGTATGTATGTATGTTGGTCTGTTACTGTACTGTCAGGCTGACTTTAATTAGGATTGATTGATTATTAATTGTTTTGGTGGAGATGATTTAATTTGTGTGTTATTGTGCTGTCAGACTGACTCTTATTATGATTTATGATATTTGTTATTATGATTAGGCACAAACCAGAAGACACCATTGGAGAATAATTACATCACATCACAATAGATGCATGTTCAGAAGGAAGGAGGAAATAGAGTTTGAGTTGAGTTTATTCAGACTGTGCTCCTCTGCTTTTGTGGCAGGCTCCTGAGGAACCCCCACAATGCCTTATTTTGGCTCGGAGGAGACGGTAAAAGAGCTGAAGCGAGCTCTGTCCAATCCAAATGTTCACGCAGACCGTCTCCGGTACAAAAACTACATCTCCAAAGTCATCAGGTCCGTGAAGTGATCCCCTTGTTTTCAGTGAAGGAGACCGTTTTCAAAAGGACAAACTAATTGCTTAAGATGCTATCCCTGATATTATCCTGTGAAACAGAAACCTAGATATTTAGCAGAATGTTCAAGTTGCTACATTCCATACAATATGAAAGTGAATGGGGACTGGAGTCGTCAACCACCAAAAAAGCACCAAACAATCATGGAAAACCTGTTAATATCATATCCACTATTAATATCCACTATTCAAATAGTCCATGTCCATGCCTGAATCATTATTGAAATTAAATTTTAAATTTTTTTTAAATGTAAATAATGTGGCAGTTAGATATTGCTTGTGTACAGTAGTGTGTAGAATTTAAATTGTTTGCAAGATATAGTAATGTCAGCAAATTTATCTGTTTGAAACCATGAAAATAGCCACAGAAACTGGAATGGCGTTAAACAAAGAAACAAATCAGTTTGAATGACTTATTAGCAAATAAAATAAAAAAATATTTCGGTTACACTTTACTTGAAGGGGTGTGCATAAGACTGACATGACACCTTCATAATCATAACAGGTTTTATGCATGTTTATGACAACTGTCATTAAGTGTCATTCGCTCAGTTATGTCATGTTTAATGCAAAGATGACATTGTTTGTTATGGGCTATGGTTAGGGGTAAGGGTAGGGGTAGGGTTAGGTCAAATAATGTCATATTTGCATTAAAAATGACATAACTGAGTGAATGACACTTAATGACAGTTGTCATAAACATGCATAAAACCTCCTTCATATTCATGGCATGTGTCGTGTCATGATTATGAAGGTGTCATGTCAGTCTTATGCACACCCCTTCAAGTAAAGTGTTACCGTATATTTCTTATTCAGTAATTATTATCCAGTAGTCACATGTGACTGGTTCATGGAAAAGTCGTGGAAATTTGTTGGTTAAAAATTAGTGGGAATCCCTGAATGAAAAATTATCATAAATTAGTCTAACGCATGTCTTTCAAGCCTTATGAAGCTGCAGATTCTATGAGAAACAGAACAACATTTAATTCATTATTTATTATACTGCACATCTTGATATCCACCATAATTAGATTATATTAATAATCATAATTAGATAATTCCACTGTAGCTAATTAGACGGAACTTGTGAAATGTTGTTTCTTTGAAGGTACATGACACAGGGTCTGGATGTCTCCGCTTTATTTATGGACATGGTGAAAGCCAGTGCTACAGTGGATATTGCTCAGAAGAAGCTGGTTTATCTGTACATGTGCACCTATGCCAGTGACAAGCCTGACCTGGCGCTGCTGGCCATCAACACGCTCCGTAAGGACTGCGCTGATCCCAATCCCATGGTGCGAGGGTTGGCCCTGAGGAACATGTGCAACTTTAGGTTTGTATGTTCTTTTTGTCTGTCTAGACCCAGAATATCATAGATGTGCATTTTTCATGGCACCTTAGTTATTACTTAGCAATACCATATCAAACACCACAACAACATCTTAGTAACACCCTAAAAAGCAACATCCTAGCAACCACACAAGACACCCTATCAAGCATTCAGGACACAACAGCAGCCTAGCAACACCCTAACAAGCGATGATCTTGCAACCATACAAGACACACCAAGAGTCATTAACAATGCCCTAAAAACCACCCAGAACATGGCAACAACATTCAAACAGTGCCACAGCAACAAACAAGCAACGCCCTAGCAACTACCCAGGATACCTTAGTGATCACTTAGTAGTAACTTACCAACCTCCCAGGATACTGCAACACCCTTGCAACCATTCAAAATTCTACAACAACAGCATAGCAACAACTTAACAAGCAGCACCCTAGCAACCATCCAAGACACCCTAACAACCACCCAGAATATAGTGACAATATTCAAACAATGCATCAGCAACGAACACTGCAACAGTCAGCCTTGCAACACCATGACAAGCAACACCCTAACAACCATACAAGACACCCTAGCAATCACTCAGCAACCCTAGCTATCACTCAGAACATAACAACAGCCTAGCAACCATCCAAGACATTCTAGCAGTTATGTAACAACCCCCTAACAACCATCTAGAACACCACAACAGCCAGCCTTGCAACATGCTTACAAGAAACACCCTAGCAACCTTCCAGGACACTTTTGCAATCCCTTAGCAACACCCTTGCAACCACCCAGAATATAGTGACAATATTCAAACAATGCATCAGCAACGAACACTGCAACAGTCGGCCTTGCAACACCATGACAAGCAACACCCTAACAACCATACAAGGCACCCTAGCAATCACTCAGCAACCCTAGCAAGCATTCAGAACATAACAACAGCCTAGCAACCATCCAAGACATCCTAGCAGTCACGTAACAACCCCCTAACAACCATCCAGAACACCACAACAGTCAGCCTTGCAACATGCTTACAAGAAACACCCTAGCAACCTTCCAGGACACTTTTGCAATCACTTAGCAACACCCTTGCAACCATTCAGAATTCTACAACAACAGCCGCAACACCTTAACATGCAATGCCCTAGCAACCATCCAATACTCCCTAGCAACCCTCTAACAACCACACAGAACTCAGTGACATCATTCAAACAATACTTCAGTAACAAACACTGTAACATTTTTACTTGCTACACTCTAACAAGCAACTACCCAGGACACCTTAGAACACTGCAACAACATCTTAGCAACACCCTAACAATTATCCTAGCAACCACACAGGAACAATCACCAAGGGCACTTCACTCTAGCCAACATTCAGAACACAACAGCAGCCCAGCAACACCCTAAAAAGCAATGCTCTAAGCAACCATCCAAGACACACTAGGAGTCATTAACAATGCCCTAACAATCAGCCTCGCAACACCCTAGAAACCTCCCAGGTCACTTAACAACCACCCAGAACACAGCGACAACATTCAAACAGTGCACCAGCAGCAACAAACACTGCAACAGTTGACCTTGCTACTCTCTAACAAGGAATGCCCTAGTAACTACCCAGGATACTCCTAAAAATATGGAGCAAGCACACAAGACACCCTAGCAAGCATTCAGGACACAAAAACAACAGCTTAGCAACCATATAAAAACCATCCAAGACACCCTAGTAATCACCTAGCAACCATCCAGAACACCACAACAACAGCCAAGATATGTCCCACATATCAACATTCCACAACACTGCAACAATTTGGCTTCTAGCACCCTAACAAACAACAACCTAGCAACCACCCAGAACTTCACAACAGTATCTTAGCAACACCCTAGCAATCACCCTACCAACCGTTCAGAACACTGTAATAAACTAGCAAGCACCCAGGACATCTTAAGAATCGCTTAGCAACAACCTAGAGACCATTCAGAACAACAACAGCCTAACAACACCCTAGCAGTCACCTTGCAACCTAGTTATTTTCTTCTTTTATTTGCTTGTTTTTCAGGATGCCGGGAATGACAGAGTACATAGAGCAGCCCATTGTTGCTGGTCTGCGGGACAAGGCCAGTTACGTTAGGAGAGTCGCTGTGCTTGGTTGTGCCAAAATGCACAGTCTGCAGCCCAACACAGACATCGGTAGAGCCAAGTATTCTGTTTACCTGAATTATTACACTTGCTAAGGATAATGTGATAAATATCACTTGCTTATTTTAATACATGTGCATAAATAGGCATAAGCAGAGAGATTTATGATTTTAGGTCAGACTGTTCCCTTTAAAGGAATGTTACTGGTTCAGCGTCTGTGATGACCAACAGCATGTCAAG